CTCTTTCCACTTTTAAAAACAATTTCTCACTTTACCACTTTTTTGTCTGATAGCTGTTTCACTTGTGCAGCTGCCTTTTCCTGCCTCTGTGTTGCCCCTTGAACTCAAAAGCATTTTAATGTCACTTAGAAAAAAAAATGCAAACATTTCTAACAACCAGAAGTTTCCTATTCCCAATAATCACACCTAGGTAAAAGAAAATCTTTGAAGAGTCAAATACTTCTTTAACCATCTAATTGATAATGACCCTGAAATGTTCACAGTGATCTCCAATAATGTTCAATTAAAAGCAGATGTTTGTCAAGATTCACTGAAAATGTCATTTCCTTAAACTATTTGGATTTCATCATATGTGACAGGACAGTGTGGGTCTCCAGAATACATCTGTTTGGTTATCACTATGGGGACAGTGGAAGAGTGACTTTGTATCGTAAAAGGTTAGGGACACATTTTCAAAAGTAGCTGCCTCCATTTTTGAATGTTCATTTTGAGACATTCTGGCCAATATACTCAAAAGTATTTTAGGCACCCAAGTACCTTTAAGGATCTGAATCCAAGACCCCGTTTACTGCTACACTTGGCACTCAACTCCAAAGGAAGTAAATGAAGATATGGACTCTTGGAACCTCGTTATCCCAATACAGAGGTTCTCAAATTGGGGGTCATGATCCTCAGGGAAGGGGGGAGTCACGAGGTTATGACATGGGGCTTTGCATGATGTCAACCTCCAGCTCCAGATATCGCTTTCTCCCCAGCATTAATAATATTAAATATAAGAAAAATATGTTTTCATTTATATGGGGATCACATCAAAGGCATGCTGTGTGAAAAGGGTCACCCATACAAAAGTTGGAGAACCTCTGTCTCCATCTATTTAATCAGGATTATCATCAATTAATGACACCGATGTTTATCCCACCACATGTCCAGTAGTCTTAAATAATGAATGGTGGTCCTAGCTAGTTATCTAGTAATGACGTGTCAGAAAGACACATTCTGGCATTCTAGAATTCAGGAACGTTTGGAGCCACTTGTGGTCCTCCAGCCCTCATTATCCTAATCACACAAAAAAAATTAGGCAGATTACAGTAGCCATTTCACTGATCCACATTTGTTTGAAAACTTTGGTGTATACCATTTAATGCTACTGAAAACCAAGAGCCCATACCTGCTAGAATGAGCACACACTGCATATATTTGAGGTCCGTACTCTGGATGTCACAACAGAATCCACGAGCTGCCACGTGGAAATAACTGGGAAATGAGGGGACACATAAAAAAGGTTATGAAGAACCCTTAGCAGGAAGGGCAGACCAGTCCAACACAGAACAGCATGAGGAAGCAGCAGCTACTGAGGGGTATGTCTACCCTATACATGTTTTTTTTTTTGGGGGGGGGGGGGGAACAGATGTTTTCCCGAAAAACTTTCACTTACGTTCACACTGCAATCGCGTTCGACCAAAAAAAAAAAACACAAAAATCAAAAGAGGGGTTTTTCCTGACATCGGTAAACCTCTTTCTACGAGAAAGAAGCCTTTTTCTGAAAGAGCTCTTTCAGAAATAGACGTGTGTAGATGAAGAAGAGGGAATTCTTTTGAAAAAAAGAGGAAAAAGCACAGATGCCCTGGTGGCCACTCCATCCACAGTAATCACAGCTTAAATGCGAGATAGCGTCCATTCAGTGTAGATCGCTTTTTCAATGTGCTTTTGCTGTGTAGACGCTCTTTTTTGGAAGAAGTTTTTTTGGAAGATCTCTTCTGGAAAAGCTTCTTCCAAAATAATCTGCAGTCTAGGCGTAGCCTGACAGAGGGATAAAGAGGCCAGAGGGAATGTAGTGTACATTCTTAAGAGTGAGAGTAATTAACTACTGGACAATTATCAAGGGCCATGGTGGATTCTCCATCACTGACACCTTTTAAAAATCAAGATTGGATGTTTTTCTACAAAAATATTCTCTTGGAAGTATTTTGGGAAAGTCTGAGGGCCTGTACTATACAAGAAGTTAGATTAGATGAATTATCGCCATTTCCCTTCTGACTTGAGAATCCATGGAAGCCTGTTTTTCCAGCTGTTGTGCAAATATTAATGCAATAAGGATGTAGCACATAAAGATACATTTCACAATCTGATTAAATACAAGATTTCCAAATGGATTGTGTACAAAAATGACATTTCTGAAATGAACCCGCAAAAGCTATCTTGTGGTTGGAGAGGAAGTGCTATCTAATATATAAGAGGAGTCAGGACTCCTGCATTCAATTCCTGACTTTGGCGTTAACTTGCTCTCTGACCCTGAAAAAAAAGTAATATCCTCAGTAACCCTCAGTTTTCCCAGCCATAAAATACCTCAAAGGCGTGTGTGTGTGTATCATGTAAGGTACTTTATAAAGTACTGTGAATTAAATATCAGCAAGCATTCAGGGCAAGAGAGGGTTTAATCTGTATTATAACAGCACTTCCAATGCTCCCATACTGTGAGTCTCTAGACTTACAGAAAAGTGGTTTGCATTTTTGCCTATTTTGACTTTGCTAGAAATTGAGAACTCATATAGAAGCAGACATCAGAAGAAATAGCCATCTGTTCAAGCTAAACATTTTTTTTAAAAGCATTATAGCACTCACCTGTTACTCTAACTGTAAAGTTACCCAGAACATCACTGGAATGTCGTGGCTTACAACTGTACAGCCCAGAGTCATCATAGGACACATTAATTATCTTCAACAGTTTTTGTCCAATGTGAGTTCTGTTGCTAGGTGCAATCCCAATACCATCTTTGAACCAGAATACTGACATAGAAGAGCCCTGGGTGTTACAGGAAAGTTCAATGGTATCTCCACTTCCAAACACCAGTTCCTCCAGAAAGGTAGTCTCGCTCCCCAGATCTTCTGTGATGGAAAAGAAAATAAATAACTAAATAAACAAGGCAGGCATCAAAGAACAATCAAAGACCCTAGCACAACTGATGACAGCAGCCACAGCACCTGTATCCTAGGTAATCTCATGCACATAGGATCCAAGAGATGAAAACTGCAAGAATGCCATCAACTGGTGAAAAAGCAATGGTTTGCTTTACTCAGGTAACAGCATTTGGCACTGTACAGGTGCTCTGTAGACAGAGTACTTTAGTAATGTCTCACTTAGATATACTGACCTGGCACCATAACCAGCTTGCTTTATTCCCTTTGAATAGGGTCAATGAAATGAATGGAATAAAAGCAAAGTTGCAGCACTAAACCAGTGGGTGCCATCAGTGAAATAAATGGTTCTGGAATTAGTGCTGTCGATGAAATAAATGGTTCTGGAAATAGTGCTGCCAAGTTTGCAACTTGTTCCCTAGAGCCTCATGTTACAATATGCCAAGAGTCAATAGGACTGAGGCAGGAGTAGGCAGGATTGGGCTTTTTTAATTTTTTTGCAGTGGTGTCAACATTGCCATTACAAGCTTCTCTCTCTTTTGAGGTTTGTTATTCAGCTAGACATGTTCTGTAAGCCAAAGCTTATATTAGGTATCAGTCCTGGGGCTATTTCTCTTTCTTCAATTAAATAAATGTTATTTTGCCTAATTTAGTTTTGGGGGCTTTTAAAAGACAGACAAATAGTTCACAAGGGAGGATGATTTCAGCTCCCTTATTTGGGTATCCTATGGCAAGTGGTTAACCCAAGGGACTTTAATATCTAGGATGAAATCCTAGCCCCAGTGAATGTCAATGTCAAAGTTCCCACACACTGCAAGAAGGGCAAGATTTCACCCCTTACGTTAATACATGACCTTTCACTTCAGAACACTTCATACAACACTATGCTTCTCCTACCATCACCTCCATGTTTCCTGTCCCAGGTGGGATCTCCACAATAAGTTATTTAAGTTGCTGTTGTCCTCTGCCCCATAACTTCCCATTCCCACTGCTTGTCAGAACTAAGCCCTGCCCTTCTCTTGATCCCCCAGCAAGCAGGAAGACAGAAAACACACAAACAAAACAAAAACCCCATCCCGTAGAAATGCAGTCATGCACAAAGTTCTATAGTTTCGTTTCTGGCAAGACTAGAGAGGCTGTCTTCACTCCTCCTTATGGCAGGAAAAAGCCAGACAAAACGGGCAAAATATGGGATAGCCTACAGGATGTAGTGCATCCTGGGTGGGCTGGGGCAAACAAGTCCCTGACCTGAAGGGCTTATGGACCAGACTCCAAACCCTAGTCCCCTGAGAGTTGCACACATTTCAGTGGGCACACTCACATGAGTAAGGATTTGGCCCTTACTGTGGTCATACTTTACAATGCAGAACACCCACAGACTCTCCTATGCTTAGTACGGTTGGAATGCTTCCTGGAACACACAGACCTTAAAGGAGACTTTGTTTCATAAATGAGGCAGTGAGATAGTGTGCACAGAATGGGTGTAAGAGACTCCCAGAGAGAAGTCTGGGCACAGCACAGGGGCAGGAGGAATTTTAAAAAGTGAATGGACCCATTCAATACATTTGAAATAGCCACTCCTTTTGCAGCCAAACTTTCTCTCTCTAGTCAGCCAGGAGCTGCACAGACAAAACAAACCCCAAGGCTCAGGGCTGTGGAGGACCATGCTCTACCCCTGAGCAAGGTGGAGAAGTGTGCCCCTAGAAGAGGACACCTTGGCAGAAGGGACGGGGGCTGGAACTAGCCTCCCCCAGCCAGCCAGCCTTTCAGGGGTGTTCAGAGAGCGTGGCTCAGATGGAAATTTAAAGGACCCTCAGGCTCTAGCCACCTCTACAGTAGCAGCAGCCCAGGGAGTCCCGGGCCCCTTTTAAATTGCTGGGCCTAGGGATAGCTGCCCCTTGCCCTTTTCCCCTCCCTGGTCGGTAGACCTGCTAAGGCTGGACACAAAACTTGAGGCCTCTTTATTCAACAAAGATGTTCCAAAACACAGTGGCGTGTAGGCACAATACTTCAGTTTAATGGGCAGTTATTGTAGCAGAATGCTTTCATGTTTAATTTTATACAAGATGGTGATAAAAGAATTTTAAAGCCTAGTTGTTTCCCAGTGGTAGGCTATTTAACCTCCATCCATTTTAACACGTTATACGAACACACAGACTACCAAGTCCAGTCTGATTTTACATTAGCACTGATTTTACACTGGTGTTACTTTTTACTTCACAGTTACTCCCAGCTTACATCAATTAAGAATCAATGCACTGCCAATGAACCTCCAGGTGAAACTCTGGACCTGCCAAAGTCAATTGTGACAATTTCAACGGAACTAGGTCATTCAAAGATGGGTCCAAACCTATGATTGAAATACACCTTGAATTTGGCTCAGACATAAACCTGAATACTTTGATATGGATGTGTTGCTCAGTTGTTTTCTTGAAAACAGGTGCCTCATGACTTTGCAGCTTTGTGATCAGACTTCATACCCAAGATGCACCATGGTCTCTGCTCTTAGAGATGACACATCATATAACTTGAAGGAACTTTGGGAGGTCATCAAGTCAAGTCCCCTGCAGTCATGACAAGACCAAGCACCATCTAGATCAGGGTGGAAAACCTTTTTTTGGGTCAGGGGCTAATGACCCACAGAAAAATCAGTCAGGGGCTACATCCAAGTGAGAAGCAAAAAAGCAAAAAAACCAAAACAAAACACCTCCTCACTAACATGGGCTTCAACTAAGAAAGAAAAAGATACCCTCCACACTCTCTTCACACACCAGTGCCTTGGGGGGTCCAGGTTAGTAGACTGTATGCACTCCAGCCCTGTGGGGGAAGCCCAGAGTATTGGGAGCCTGATCCAGGCAAACTGGGAGCCAACAACTGAGGTTCCCCACCGCTAATCTGGGTGTTTATCTAAGTTGTTCTTAAAAGTCTCCAATGATAGAGGATTCCACAACCTACTGAGGCAATTTATTCCTGTGCTTAATCATCCTGACAGCTAGGAAATTTTTCTTAATGTCCAACCTAAATCTCCTTTGCTCCAATTTAGGTACTTGAAAGCGGTTATGCCCTCTCTATCAATCTTTTCCAGACTAAACAAACCCAATTTTTTCAATCTCCTCTCATAGTTCATGTTTTCTAGACCTTTAATCATTTTTGTTGCTCTTCTCTGGACCCTCTCCAATTTCTCCACATATTTCCTGAAATCATGTGTCTTCCTGGCCACAACTCTGTATGGGAGATGAAATCTGATTAAGAGCCTGGCCCAAAGAGAATGGGAACAACTGACCTGGAATCCCCAAGAGATACTGCAGCAACGTTCCAAAATTGAAATTTCATTTTTCCAGTATTCCCATTGAACAACAGTTTCGAGGCAAAAACCCCTCACTGGCATCAGACCTGCAAGATCCCTCCGTGTTACACAACTGAGAAAAACGCTGCTAGCTAGTTAGTGTTTCCGTTTTAACTATGCATTTCCTTGATTTTGCTGTTTTGCACCACAACCTGACTATTACTTCAATTGCGCTAACTTATGGCCTACAATTTAAGGACCCCATTTATAGCTTCACACTTGCAAGCCTGAGTACTATGTGTTTATTGACCTTGATGGAAGCTCATACTAATTTAATCCATCAGAAAACAAACCCCATGCAGCTGCACAATTCATCCATGTAAAATACATGGTTTTACCCAAGTTGTTTGCCAAGTGATCAAGACTTGTATATTTTGGCTTTTGTATCATAAACTGACCAACAGGAACAAGCCCAGACTAAATGCTAACTGCACTGAATGAAACAGCCATTTAAGACTAAGTCTCCCTTTTAAAGCTGTCATGAAACAGTTTCACGACAAACTATTTTCACAAAAACCATTTTGGGGTTACTGTAATAAAGGAGACAACATTTACTCTGTGCTCTGGACAAGCAACAGCTGAGGTCTCTGCTGTGGCCACAATATCATCATCTGTCATTTCTGACAGCTTTGTTTTATGAGGGTTATTAGAATGTACCTTGCTCTTCCCCCCCCTTCAATGCTTCCAGACTGGATCTCAACCAAATTAGTTAGCTGCATAGATATAGACATTTTCATTCATATGGACAATGAAAGAGAAGACAGGTCCATTTTTCTAGGCTTCTTTTCTAGTTTTCTCAGACTCAGACTTTAAAGCCAGAAGGATCATTGTGATCATCTAGCTAGATGTCCTGCTGGTTGCAGGCCCACAGAACCCCACCTACCCTCTCCTGAAATAGAGCTACTGATTCCCGACTCACGTCCAGTCCCAGGTGCTGCGACTCTGGCTCTTAATACATTTAACAATCAGAAGCACAGCGGGCTGGGGTGCGGGGCAGTATAAGCTGGGCCAGCTGATTGCTGGCTTGCACAGGGTCCCCTCGCTGCACTTTAGCCCTGGTAATCAACTAATTGACTAGTCAATGGAAAATCCAATGACTAGTTGATTAACTATATTTAACATCTCTAGTTACAGAGACTCCACCGTTTACAACAGTTTAACCCTGCAAATGAAAAATGCAGCCCAGCCCCCCCCGCCAAGGGTCTCTTGTTAATCTGACTCGGGGAAAATTCCTATCTGATCCCACATATGGTCCCCAGGTACAACCTGAGCATGTGGCAAAACCCAACCACCAGACTAGGGATGTAAAATCTCGTTTAATCAAATTAAACTCTAGCCCTTGCCAGTTAACCGTAACCAGTAAGCATCATCCAGTAAGGGTGTTGCCGACTGGTTAACCATTCACAACCCTAAACCAGACACTTGGCAAAGAATTTTCCATAGCAACTCAGAAGCCTCCCTTCCCATCCAGTGTCTCATCACCAGACACTAGAGATATTTTACTATGAGTAGTGGCAAAGCAACTACATGCCATTGTAAGTGGTTTCTCTGGTGCTCCCTCACGTGAAGTACATAGCATAACTTGAATTGTCAAAATAATGATTAGTTTCACTTCTGGGCTCAC